ATTAATATATAACTATTATGTAATGTTTTTCTTTTGGTATACCGTCTTCTTACATTACCTAAATGCTCTTTTTCATCTATTTGTACAACACTTTTTCCATCTATTTATGGCCTCGAGTTACGTTATTTAATTTAGATAAACGGAATCAACCTGATTAATTATTATGCCCATTAGTTTTGTATTATTTTTGGAAACATAAAATTTATACTGATTAGAAAAAAAGAAAAAAACTAGTTATGATATAATTTAGAATTTGTGGTAGTTTTTTAGAAATATCCTTTCTTAAAAATACAGAAACTTAAATGGGAGATTAATCCTACATGGCTACAGCTTAGGCAAACAAAAAAAAAAAATTAAAATCTTGATTGATAATTCAATGAGTTTTACAAAAACCAAAAACTCTTTCAAAACCAAAAACTTCGTTTAATTGGACTCTAGACTAACCATGTTGATCGTAGATTTTTTTTTTTTTTTGATAAAAGGTTAGATCTAAAGTTTAATAAAATGAAAGTTTAGATTCTACAAAAACGATAATCTAAAGTTTAGATCGTAGATTTTTTATTTATTTATTATTATAGGTTTAGAATGGACATATAAACTCGGGCTTGCATTGTAAAATAGAGGAAGTAAGCAAAATGTTTGTGGACTTTTAGAATGATAGAAGCGACATCGTCACATAGACTAATCATCGTATAATTAGACAGTTATTTCTCTATCTACCGTGTCCAAATCATCAAAACAAAAAATATTAAATTAATTTTTATAATAAATATTCACTTAATTCATGTATATATATATATTTATTGTTATTAATTATTAGAGATTATATTAAATTAAAAACGAAAATAAGTAAATAAATAGATAAAAATAATAAATACAAAATTATGGAATAATTTTTTGGTACTTATAATATAGAGATGCGAAACAAAAGTATATGTAGGGAGACACAAATGTGTATCGGAAGATGACAAAAGAAATGTTAGTGAAAAAATATTTGAAAAGAAATTGACTAAATTTCGGAAAGATATTTGCACAAAACTACCATAAATATTTTAGATCGAATTAACTTTCTGAAATAAATTAGTTTTCATAAAATACATTATATGGATTATTGGACCGGATTATGAGATTTAAATCCGAGCTAATTCGTTTCACCATTTAAGCGCGGTATGTAAAATGAGATAAGGACATTCATGGATTGAAAATTATATCGAACGTTGCACTTGCTTTGATGGATAAAGCGTAATCACCAAACCTATTGTAACATCATAAATGTTTCATTTATACCTTTAAAGTAAATCATAATTGAGATTTGGCACATTCACATTTTATGTGGGGTTGCGTTATGTCCGCATCCGCTTTTAATTATTTTTATGATTGAGTCAATAAACAACATTAAAATTTCTTAGAAGATGTCTTTATGAGACTAAATATGAAAATAGTTTTCTCCAAAATAAAGGATCGTGAGATGGTAACCGAGGTCCTTTCCTCTTTCCATGAGGTTTACAATTTAAATTGGTTACATGTAACACTTAACGATTCGTTGTTTTTCAAGTAAAAAAATGATCCTCGACGATATTATGTTATATACCGTCTAATATAAATGCTTATATTATCTTTTAAAAACAAAAATATTATATCTATATTCAGTGAATCGTATTATCAGCAATTTAAAACTAAAAGTTCGCACAACGCGAGAAGTATAAATCTAGTCGTTTGAGTTAGAAAGTCCATATAACTTAACTCTATCTATCACTTACCGTTAATTTTTTAAAACCTTTTTAGCTATTTTGCTATATGTTTTAACAATATTCTTTATGTCACTAATCGAACCCAAAATTATAGAACAAGAGATTTTAAATAACTTGCCGGAGTTGGTGCCTCTGAAATGAGAGGTTTATCACTTTGTTCAACAAAGTTTTAAAAAAATTTCTTAACCATTTTGTGAAAAATCGGGGCCCATTTATTTCTTCAAATTTGCAAAAGCCCCAAATATCCTTCTATAAATATACAATTATACAACGTTCTCTCTCCGCACCAATCTCTCTTTAGCTTTCTAAGTCCCTTATGGAATCTCAAACTGATTTGGATCATGAAAGCGGTCGCACCTTTAAAAAGTTGCAACGCTCTCAATGGGCTGATCACTTCCTCAACGTTCCGGTAGATGAATTGGTGAGTCTATTTCTATCATCAATATATATATT